TGCCCCTGCCGGTTACCAGGGGTACCTGGCAACCCTAGGTAATTGTTTAAACTTCCTTGAAGACGGCTTCATTTAGTGTACCTCTAGCTACAGTTATGAGATTAGTGCTGGTGTAAATAGTGAAAAGGAACAGGGATGCAGGGGTCCAAGAGCAGGTGGGAACTGAGCATCCTTTACCCAGCAACAAGCCCATTCTCATAACAGGATCCACTTTTGTCATTTCAGGACTAAAACAGGCATTTCTGCTCTCGTGAGATTTTATGTGTAGGATGGGATCACACGCTACAAGTCTTTTCTAGAGGTGTTACCTGTTTTGACAAATTTTATCCCACTATTTCTTCTTGGAAAATCTCCATTTTGATTTTATTTCCCCCTGGTCAGACCGGTGAAGCTTTAATTTCACACCATTCGATGTGTCTTTGTGCGGAATTCTCCCCCATTAAACTGTATGCAATCATGTCAGATTTACAGATAACCCGCGACAAAAATGGGTGAAACGAAAAGCCAAAATAAAACAAAAGTCCAGTATTACCTTAAAAGACTGCACTTTCATTCACAGGTGAGATTTGACTCACAAAAGGCCATGCCAAAATAAATGTTGCTGGTCTTCAAGGTGCTACTGGACTTCTGTTTTATTGTTGTCGACCTGCGCAGCTACCCTTGTGGAACGACTAGGGAATGTTCATTCGTACATTGGTGCTTTGTCCAAGCCAGTCCCGGGACTGCTTAAGTCGGTGGTGTACCAGTAAGCTTTCTATTACATTGATCAGTACACCTGTCCCAGGGTCCGTAATTTATTGGGGGGGGGGTACCAGTGTCCATGCCAATGGACTTGGCTAACATGATTGAGAGATGACTTGGTGGTTCAGGGAAGGGTCTGAATGATGAGTATACAAATAGGCAGGGCTCTTTTTGTAGAAAAAGCCCAGCAGGAACTCATTAGCATAATAGGCCACACCCCTGACAGCACAGCTTATTAGCACATTAGGCCACACCCCCATGTTACCAGAAGTGTGCTCATCCAGCCACACCCATCTTTTGCTTCTTATCCTGTTTACTTTGTTGTCAAAACTTGGGGCTTTTTTTGTAGCAGGAACTCCTTTGCATGTTAGGCCACACACCCCTAATGTAGCCAATTTTAATGAGTTCCTGCTGTTGGGTGTGGCCTATTATGCTAATGAGTTCCTGCTACGTGTGGCCAACTTGGGAGCCAGCCGGAACTCCGTCCCTGTACGTTCCCGCCCAAAAATAGCCCTGCAAATAGGTATAGAAGTGAAAATACTAGGGTAACACGCCCTCTTAGTTCTATTTGCAAACTCCATCTGGCTTTGCCTGATTTACCTGCTAGGTGGGACCAACTCTACTTCCAACAGATAAAAAAGTAATATGCTGTGGTGGGTGGGGCCCGTCATGATTGCCCTGCAACTGTGCATCGGCTAGACGGCATGGGTCCCAGAGAAATGTCTATTGCAGCTTGCAGAGCCCTCAAAGAACTCCAAATCCGGTCAGCTGAATGATAGTCTCCCTTTTCCCTTCACTCTCTCAAGCATTCGCTTTTAAGCTATGAGGACACAATTGAGTCTCCTAAGAGAAGGGGGTGAAGAGATTCAAACGGGAATGTAAATGTTGTTTGCCTTATCTGTGGAGTCTGGGTTCTGGCTGTTAATTGGCATGCGGTGAGGTCTTTGGGAAATGGCTGATGTGAGGCTCTGGTCTATTGAACAGGAAGTAGGGCTGTTTTCACAGTTTGATCATCAATGCACCGTTGCACACAGTTCCTTTCCAAGATACATGTGTGTGTGTGTGTGTGTGTGTGTTTCTTCTTTTGCTTGCTTAATTGAATAGTTTTGCTTACTGTCACATACAAGTAAATGTTAATTCTGCGGGGAAAGGAATCTTTTGTCTCAGAGCTGTTCCATAATCCAGTTATGGCAGTAAATGTTTGTTTTCAGTGTGTTTAAAGGGTATAGTTTTACACAGGTTGTACAGAGAGAGAGAAAGAGAGATAATATTGCGGCATGAACTTAAGTGTCAGAGAAGGAATGGGAAGGTCTGGGTTCAAATCATCCATTGCCATGAAGCTCACTGTGGAAGGATCTGCATACCGTGGGCACTAAATGAAATTGATGAGGAGTCGGGTTAGAACGGATAAAAGGAAGTACTTCTTCACCCAAAGAGTAATTAACACATGGAATTCACTGCTGCAAGCCACAAGGTATAGATAGGAACTCTCATTCTGGGGCAAGGGATGCTCTGTATTCTTGGTGCTTGGGGGGGTAACAGTGGGAGGGCTTCTGGTGTCCTGGCCCCACTGTTGGACCTCCTGATGGCACCTGGCATTTTTGGCCACCATGTGACACAGAGTGTTGGACTAGATGGGCCACTGGTCTGATCCAACATTGGCTTCTCTTATGTTCTTATGTCCTGTGCTGATCAAAAATCCATGAGATAAATGACGGCAGTTATGTTCTGCCCAACAATGTGTGGATCCAATCCTCATGGTCTCCAGTCTTTTTCTCACACACGCCAGCCTCACAGGGTGGTTGTTGTGATCAGAAAATGAATGAAGGGACAGCCACGTACACCAACCCCGGACACAAGAAGTATGAGGTTGATCAAAAATCCATGAGATAAATGACGGCAGTTATGTTCTGCCCAACAATGTGTGATTGAAGGGACAGCCACATACACCAACCCCGGACACAAGAAGTATGAGACAGAAAGGTCTCCGAGTAGCTTTAGTCTGGCTTCCTTAGCTGCCTTCAGAAATCACGCTAAACGGCAGCTTGATTAAACTCTGGTTTGACATGATGTCTGAATGCCGATTTCCCCACTCACTTTGATTAGAAAGAGGGCTACAAGTCAGGATTCTTGGCCAGAGCCGAGTCCCAGCTTTGAGTGCTGTTCTGTAGTGATTTGGTTTACCTTTTATGTCCGAATGCAGGAACTGCAGCTCAATCACCTTTTTGCTTAGTATCACCTCCCTAGGGGCTCGAAGGTGCAGCAGTGCAATCAATTTGAATTCAGTCCTGATAATGATAAGGGTCATTGTCGGAGGTTTAAAACAAGGAGTAATTCCGTTAACAGAGAGTTCAGTGCTTGTAGGCTTGGTAGCAAGTGCCTTATTAGCATCTGTGTTAGGTTAGGCGTTTGTCATGTGTGAGCTGCTCTGATTGGAAGTAAGAACTCCTGGCTAGAAGGCCGCGGAAGGGCAAGGGAGTTTAAGGAAGTGAGGGGACTGTGGGCCCCAAGTTCTCCAAAGGTCGCTAGGTCCTGAGTAAGAGCCCCAAGATGACCTCTGTCAAGGCTGTAGCTAGTGCAGGGGGTATGGGGCAATGCCCCTTCCCCAATTTTCAATGTCCCCACAGGGCTGAGACAGAGCTCCTGGGTGTGTGTGTGTCTCTCCATGACCAGGAAGTCCCACACAAGGAAAGCCCAGCCAGCCACTCACCTCCGTGCCCAAAGCACAGCTAGATGGGGGGGGGGAGTGAGTAATGGCCATGTTCCGGTCCTAGGCGACTCCTCCCGGGCTTTGGGGGGCTGCTTCTCAGCCTTACCTGCAGAGCTGTTGGGAGGGCCAAACAGGAGAGGGAAATTGGCGGTGGGAGGAAAAGATTAATTAACTAATTGATTTAGTTAATTAAATTAGCCACTCTGGGGCCGCCCCCCCCCACGGAAAACAGTCTAGCTACGGGGCTACCGGGTGAATTTCCCCCATCACTGCCATCCCGTGATGAGATTCTTGGATGGTGGGTGCAATATCCAACAATATGTAGGATTCCCCTGTACGATGACAGCCATTTTTGCCTTGAGGCAACTCTTGCATAAGCAGAGTCCTTCTCAAGATTTGGGCATGGAAAACCTATCGGACAGCGTGGCCCAAGAGCTAAGTTGCCAAAGCTTACAGAGAGAAGCAGAGCTTGGGGCTTGTCACTCCAGCTAGGTTCTGTCCACAGAGTGTGAGTGACTGTCATGGGGGAGGCAGAGGCCCTTGGCTTCCATCGGTGGTAACCGTTCTGCTTTCAGGGAACTTCAGCATTGAAGGAAACTGGAACTTTCAAAGGGAACACTAAGTCATCCCAGGAATCTCATGACTAGCCACGGACTCATGTCAGCGGGTGACATTTGTATATGATAGGATCAGATATTTGTATGTGGCCGGTGTGTTTAAAGTTCCTACTACTACGCAAGAAGCCACTGGTACATTAACCAAAAAGCCACTCGGTAGATCTGACCAAAGTCCATCTCAGCCTGCCTTTTGTGTCCAGACCCAGTCCACTAATCACATCTTGTGGCACTTGCAAGCTGTGTATGTGAAGCTGTGAACCACCCCCTTGTGTTTGATGGCCAAAGGTATTCTATAACAGCTTATGGGGTTTCCATTTTGCTATGCATGGCTTAATAGCTATTCTTTGACCTCTGTTCCGCAAACGTTTCAAAAACCACGAGTGGTTAGCTGCTGCATTTTGTTATTCCCGTATGTGACAAGTTAAACTTTCATGAGTATCACGGACCACAGTTTATGCCTCTCTGCTCCAGCAGTAAATGGACAAACCACTTGGAGATGGGAAGGGGTGGACCTGTCTCGATGGGCTGCACATGAAGAACCAAGCTGAACTTTTGTGGCACTCATAGTGACTTGGGCCCCTCAGCTCGGATTCAAACCGCAGTGACTGTCACAATGGTGGCAGACTCAAACGATGCCTATGCGCATGCTGCTGCCGGGTCTGATGTCATCATCCCTGTGAGCCCAAGGGTGAGCCAAGCACTCCCTGTGGCTCTGCCAGGGACCACTGTGCTCAGCTGGCTTCACTGCCATCTGAACGTCTCAGTCCACCTCTGGAATTGCCTTTGCTGACCAGGACACCGTTTGAGAACCTCTGTAGCGGACAATGAAAATCATAACACAGTGGATTGTCATGGATCATCTCGAGTGTCTTTTTTTTGGGTTCTTTTCCTTGACTTGTAGCCATCTGATTTAGCATCTGTTTATTTTCCAGGGTGGTTATGCTGCCTACCGGTATGCCCAGCCCACCACCGCCACCGCAGCTGCCTACAGTGACAGGTAAGAAGCCACTGATTGGTTGAATTTCTACTTCATTCAGAGATGGTGGTACCTAGAGATCTTGGAATCGCCTTGGTTTTAATGTATTTGTTGTTCTGCACCCAACACAACTATGGTCTCTGAGGCTGTATAGTGATAATCCATGAAGAGCCATCCATAGAGAAACTATTGCTCACCTTACGGGATGCACACGATCACGTAGTGTCGAGGTAGAGTGTTCCACAGAACTCCGAAGTTCTGTGGGATGGTCCCAATCATCTAACTTTAGTTTATTTTTTTCAACCTATGCTAAACCCTCACTGGAGTCCACAGATATAGAAGACGGACAGATCCTAATAAAACGTAGCTGTTTTAGAATGACAGAGCAGAGAATCCGTAAAAAAGAGGAGGACAAACTTCTCTGTCTTGAGAACTTCCATCAGTTTGGTTGACATTCTCAAAAATCCTCAGTCAATGTATACATTCAGTAGAATCAGTGGTAAGAGTCTTCTCCAGACTATACAATTGTACGTGGGGGTTCATTGTTCCCCGTGCACTTGGAGAACAATCCCATGCCAAAAAGAAGTCTAGGCAGAATCCTTCTTTCCAGCATGCTATTTTTATATGTTGAGGGAGTTAGATGGGGTAGTACTCAAGTAGGAGAATCCTCATTGGCAGTAGAGGTGAACAAGTGTCATTTATGCGGGTCTCGTCCTGTATTTCCATCTTCACCCTTTCGATATAAATCCCTGTAAGCTTTGATGTGGTTGTAGTGGTTACACTCCCTGATTACTGGAGAGACCCGAGCCTCGTTTCCCCATAAAGCTCATTAGGTTATCTTGGGCTAGTCCCACTATCTCTGTATATCCTGCTTCACAGATCAAATAAGGGAGGGGAAAGCATGTAGACTGCCCTGAGCTGCTTGAGGGAAGGGAATGATAAAAAGGTGACAGACATATAGAACTTTGTGTGCATCTGTGCACAACAGGCATTCTTGATACACAGGGGTCATTTCGTAGAAAAAGAGGTGCAGGAGCTCATTAGCATAACTCATTAGCATAACTTATTTGCATAGGCCACAACCCCTGGCCTCACCGGAAGTGTGTCAGAAGGCAACACCCACCACTCAGGCTCCACTGGACTCTTTTGGATTGCTAGCTATTGGGGGGGACGACGTGCAGATCTGTCCTTGAAGAGGAGGGAGAGCTTGTACCTGAATAAAACCTGGTCTTAAAGGTGCCACTGGACTGTTTTGGACTGGGGGGCGCTCTGCAACTTACCTGGCTGCTTCTTGCTCTGACTGAGGGCTGCTGGGAGCAGGGGGTGGGGCTTCTTGCATGTACCTGCCCCCTGGGCTCTTTACTGCCGGAGCTCCGCTCCTGTGCGCTCCTGCCGGAAATGACCCCTGTTGATACATCTTTCAAATTAATGTTGCCATCGAATTTTATGTAATGTTTTAATTAGAAATAATGCATATCCAGACAGTATCCCCTCCCTCAAGATCTAGGAGACGTTTGAAGAAAATGGGCAAAAACGAATACACATTTGGCTCTGCTCCATGACACAGGCAACTCAGATCGGAGCAGCATATTCTGTAGACAAATCATGTCAGAGGGGAATTCAGACGCAACCCCAGCCAAGGTCTAGGAAAAGCTTCATCCCTTGATTCTGCTGAATGTATATGATAGGCCTTAACAGGTTTTGCCTGAACAGGTATCTCAAAATACACTTCACTTTAAACCAAACTCAGTGGCTTGTATCCTATCACTCTGCTCAGTCAAGTTAGATAATGCTTCTGGGCCAAGGAGGCTGCTTCTGCTAGAGGAAGGCGGAGCAGAATAGGAGGATGAAAGCCACTAAAATCTGCAGACAGGTATTTTATGTGCATCTATGTTTGCTCGCGCATGGCTGAGAAATCTTACCAGAACTCTCTTGGTTTTCTTTGAAATTCCTCGGATATTTGGCTCCAGAAGAACTGATATTCTGAATTTCACTTTAAGCGAAATTTCGAAAGGAATTCTCGAAAAATACTCGGGACTTGAATGCAGTCATAATATAGGTCAATATAACATTGCGGGGTGGGGGGGGAGAACAACCAAGAGACCAGCTATAGTTCAGTGTCATGAAACATGCTCTGTATACACGAGGCTCCACAACTGATCATTGACTTCCAATGACTGACTGACAGTGTGGGTAGGATGGTCTACCTGAAACTGCCTCTGTTGGCCAACGTAGATAATGGTAGATGGACCAATGATCTGATTCAGCATAAGGCAGCTCCGTGTGTTTAGTAGCCTAAAAGTATGATCCTACCAAGTTCTGAGTTGTGCTTTGGAATCCCAGGCCATAAGGCATGTGGTTTACCCACCATCGGATGCCTAGAATAGTAAATTACGTGTGTCAGTAAAGTCACCACAGATCTTCCTCCATGGAGAGAACTTTCATAGTACATGGATATGACACTTTAGAGAGAAGCCAGTTCAACCATCTAAGGGTCACTTGGCCAGCCATCAAGTATTAAGTAATAAATTGTTGAGGTCATAACTGGATAACGACCTCATGCAAATGAGATCAAAGTTCCTGTGCCATTCAGTTTATTTTCCTCTGGTCACCTCAAGTGAGGGTGTGAACCAGAAGGGACAAGAATAATGTTCTCTAGGTTCACATTTCAATTTGAAATTAATGAAGTAGAACTCTTTTGTCCTATTTCCCCCTCTTTGGAGTCACTCCCTCACCCTTTTGCCGCTATTTTGGCAGCCATTTTCTTCTCATTTTAATTCCTCCCGAAGTGCTCCCGGCCAATCGGGGACCACATGCTGGATTTCTGGAAGCTGGCTCTTATCTGACGTTTGAATGCAGAGCATCAGGGTAGATTAGATATGACAACCAAGGTACACAGCAGACTGTTGCTAGATCCACATACACCAGTGCTGTGCATCAGATTTTGTGTTCAGCTTTACATCTCCCATTTGAAACTATTTGTAAGAGGCCCATAATGTGCCTCACCTCAGCTGTTTTGAGAGCTTTGGTTGAACAAAAAATACAGTGCAATAAGAACTGTTTCTAAGCATCCCCCTCCCCAGTTTAAACGGTATAGCTGACTAATTGATGCACAAATAAAACGGGAAACGTCCATTTTTATGGAGAAAGTTTGGTGTGAGAAAACGGAAAATGGCATGAAAATAAAAGGACTGTGGGTTCAATCGGCATGAGGGAGAAGAAATCTGAATGAGGAATTTGAAAACATCCCCAGTGCCATTGAAAGCAACATAATGGGACTCGCTAGCTGTGCCCATTGGCTAGGATCAGACACACGGCTTTTATTGTGTGCGTGGACTTGTTGGCTTCAAGTGATAGACCTCCCTTGCCTGTATCATATGCAGCTTTTTAAAATCCTTCTCTTGCAAAACAGGGGAAAACTTTGAGAACTGGAAGCCCCGAGTCCCTTTGAGTGTTCCGGTTTAGCGACATTTGAATCTGGACGGCCCCATTCTGCTTTCTTTTCCAGATCAGCCAGCAGCCCAAACACTTTCTTTCTTTGTTCACATCCCAGAAAATCCTCCCATTTTGAATTTAGCTTTCTTATTCATTTCTTAGTTTTTTGGGTTCTTTTTTTTAAATCGTATTTTTTTCAAACCTGGCCCATTCCAAAGCTTGAAGGGAGATGCTTATACACATAAAAGGTACATTCAAAATGGCCCATTAAAATCAGTTTTAATCCAATAAAAAGTATCAAGCACTAGAATTCCCATCTTAAAACCGTGACTGTAAAAGTGACCCCAATTCTTATTCATCTATTAACTTAACTGAATCCCCGGGTTTTTTGTTCCTAATGGGAACTCAGGGTGGATAGAAACATCACTATAGAAGTGAGATTACTGCTTTAAACTTATTAATACATAATATCATAAAGATGAAAAAAAAGCATAATCCAGCCATGGCTAAAAATGAATAAAGCTACAGTTCTGTCCAGGACTACTTGAAAGCAGGCCCCAAAGGTCTCACAGATATTAAGATTTACTTTGGAGTAAGATCCAACAGGGATAAGCTGTTTCAATGGTGTGTTAAGCGCACGAGTTCATATAGAATCAATGGAATTCATAGCTGCTGAACTGTGGCAAGATGGCATTCGGTATCATTGAAATAAATCTGAACCCTGTCAGATTGGACGGTTTAACTTGCCTTTTCAAAGAATTATTGTATTTTCCTTCTTATTTTTATAAAATTATACGGAGGTGAGAAATATACACATACACACACACACATAATTTGCACTTAAGAGGGCTTATTCAATATTCACTTGATCAAAATAACAACTGAACTTGTTACTTCTGGAGCTATTAGTTTCTCTAATAAATAGGAATCTAACATCACCTTAACATAACAAGGTAACAGCATTCCGTGCACCTTGGTGTTTAGTCATGCCGGCCACATGACCATGGAAACATCTTTGGACAGCGCTGGCTCTTCGGCTTTGAAACGGAGATGAGCACCGCAACCCTAGAGTCGGATTCGACTGGCTTTCGAGCAAGGGAACCTTTACCTTTACCTAACATCACCTTAAAGACTAAACTTTTTTTTTTTATTCTGCCATACATTTTCATGGACAGAGTGTAATGACCATGATTCAGAATTACTAGTTCCTGTACAATTTGGTTCCATAAACTAAAATGTATCTTTTTTTATAGAGCGGATGCATTTTTGAGATGCTGGGGGTCTACAGATTTTCTTTCCACCCCTAGATTTTATCACTTTGAATATACATGGAAAGTTAGGGGCACATATAAAAAAAGCTGCCCCACCCCAAAGGTAGATGGAAGACACAAAACTGAAGATTAATTTGAAAAAAAGTTGTAGGTTCAGACTTGGTTAGTAGTTGTGTATATAGTGGGGAGACCAATCCCAGGATTCATGGGGCAACCCCAACATCTAGCTGGGAAGGGCTGCCGGAGAAAGCGCTTTAAAATGGTTTGTATTTAAAAAAAATAAGAATGTGTGAAGGTGGAGCAAGTAGATTTTTT